GACCTTGCACTTGCCAGGCAGGCGCTTTTGCCGCTGAGCTAAATCCCCAGCCCCTCCTTCCTATTTTTGAGATTCAAATATATATACGAAGGGCCAGGGATATAGCTCAGCGGCACAAGCGCCTGCCTGGCAAGCACAAGGTCCTGAGTTCGATTCCTGGTACCAAAAAGAAAAAAAAAAACAAATATATATATGATATTTTCTTTATCCACTGATGGACCCTGAGGTCAAGTCCACCTCTTGGCCACATCTTCACATGTTGTGAAGTGTTCTGAAAACATTTATTTGAGCCCAAGTTTCGTGACCTCTAAACCCTTTTTTTTAACCAAGCCATTTAGGGGTTCACTGTTCCATTGAGCACCACTGGGTATTAATTAATAAAACCGATATTAAATCTCAGATCTTTTGCTTTCAACGCAGTATGCTGTACATTAACCTACATGAACAACTCACTTTTGCTACATGTTTGAGGAGTGTGTTACCCAATTAATTATTTGAACATAAAAAAACAATCACAACTCAAACGTGCTGCTTAAGGAGCTGGGGTGGTGTTACCGCCTTCAGGTGTTAAGAATGAACTTATGTGCAGCTGGAAAGAAGCTGAAAGCAGACCACTAGAAAATCAGCCGTCTAACTGAGAACTGTGGTGTGTCCCTGTTATCCCAGACACTGGGGAGGCTGAAGCAGGAGGATCACTTGAGCCCAGACATGAGTTCAAGATCAGCCTGGGCAGCACAGTAAAAAAAAGGAAGGAAAGAAGGGAGGAGTGGTGAGAGAGAGAGAGACAGAGACAGAAGGGAAGGAAAGGGAAGGGAAGGGAAGGGAGGGAAAAGAAAGAAACTTTGCCTAATTGAAAACAATATCAAAGTCACTTCGAGGCATAGGAGTAAGATAATTTAAGGATAAAACTACACTAAAGTTCTCTGTAACTATAAGCATTCTTTTCACAGTGGAATAAAAGAGTCTGTAAACAATTCTTGTTTACTAGTACTTGAGGCTTCCTAGTATTTTTATAATTTAAATCATTACCATGATTAGAAGCTCATAATTAACCAAAATTCCAAGAAAAATACCATTCTTACGCACACAAAAAAAAGGGCCAGGCGTGGTGGCACATATCTGTAATCCCAGCACTCAGGAAGATGAGGTAGGAGGATTGTCATGAGTTCGAGACCAGCCTAGACAGCTCAGTGAGTTCAAGGCCAGCCTGAACTATATATCAAGACCATGTCTCAAAACAAAGCAAAACAAAAACATATATATATATATATTTATTTATTTATATCTATATTTCTTCCAATTAAAAAAGTAAGTAATTACGCTGTCTGGAGAAGAAGAATCATGTCAGTATATTTCTCAGAAAAGCAAGATAGATTCTATAGAATATTTACTAAAGTTTTCTGCATGCTATTTAAAATGACCAATCTTATTTTTAGAAGACCATTTCAACATAAACAGAATGCTCCAAGGGGCTGGGGATTTAGCTCAGCAGCAAAAGCGCCTGCCTGGCAAGCGCAAGGTCGTGAGTTCGGTTCCCGGTACCGGAGAAAAACAAA